GGCAGCTGACCAATCCCTGTTGCAAACATCTGATCAGGCACATTTATGTTTGTTCACCTTACACAGCATCTACCTGTGGTTTATTCTGCAACTATGCTAAGCGAAACTTAAGTTACTGTTTCTTGAATAGAGCACATAATTTGGCATGATCAACAATTTGAAAACACCACTACACTCAAACCCTCAGTCACAATGACTTGTGACTTTATGCTAGTACAATCATTGATGGCTTCCAAACAGTTCTATCTACCCTTACTGAGAAATCAACCATGGTGAGATTTGCACCTGGGTCTCATGGTTGGAAAGCTAACATTCTAACTACTCGGACCTATGTCCATAAGAGAAAGATTTTATAAATTTCAACCAACAGTAGCACTTTCTGCATGATGAATGAATGCAAAATGTTTCCTTATAAAAAAAACAGTTAATATTACCCCCCACACACACACACACGCATATATAAAAAGAGTGGACACTGAAGTCAACATCAAGTGATGACAGTCTGTTTCATGATTCAATGCAAACATCAGGATTTGAAACAGACATCCCCCACTCTGTGTTGACATCAGTGGTCCACTTTTATATTTACACCCACTGTATACCTGATATTGAGCATTTTTACCTATAAATACAGCATATGATAAAACTATTTTTTTTATCAGATATATATATATATATATATATATATATATATATATATATATATATATAAATAAATAAAAAATATAAAAGATATATATATATAATAGCTGGCCACTCGTATTCAAGGACACCTGACTACTAGGGCAGCTAGTCAATCCCTATTGCAGACGCTCGCTCAGGCATATTTGTGTTTGCCCAACACCCACAGAGCCAACCTGTGGTTTATACTGCAACTATGCTGAGCCGACCTTATTTCACCGTAGTTACAGTTTGTGGGAGTGAGCGTTTAAGAGAACAAAGAGCAAGATTTCAGCGTTCAAAACATTCATTTAAAACAGAGCTCAATACAAAAGTAAAGCCGTAAATATTTATTTATTATACAGTGTTACATTAAAACATGTGCATACCCACTACAAAACTGTAAATCTTGTTTCAACATTAAAAAACTTTTTTAACATTTCATCTGGTAGGGAATCATGATGCAACTGGTATAAATTAATTGGAGAACATGCTTGACCTTAACAGGAGCAAATTATCCAAATGTAAAAGAACGAAGAGCAGTCACATCGTGATTCCCCACTTGAAATGTTAAAGTTTTTTTAACGTTGAAACAAAATGTACAGTTTTGTACTGGGTATGTGCATGCTCTAATGTAACACTGCATAACAAATATATATATATATATATATATATATATAAAACACACACTGTATTTTGTGTATAATATAAGAAAATTTGAATGGAAATTAAAGGCAAATAAGTAGGGGTGGTATTATTCACAAGTACATATTTTCAGAAATATTTACTCTGCTTAAAAAAACTTATTTGAAACAGCAAAATTGCAAATACACTTAGTATTGCTCACAAGATAAAGGTTGTTTATACAGGATGCAGCAGAAATACCTTCCAAATAATGGTATAACATTGCCACTAATGTTTTACCATTATGTGGAAGGTATTTCTGCCACACACAGGAAAATAATATATACAACCATCACAAACATGCTACCAACATGTTGGTGCAGACTGAGGGCCTCCAGCTTACCAAGCCTGTCCTCATCACCCATGGGACCATCATCATTGGACTTGCTGAAGAGTGGAAGAAAGCAAAGTCAAAAGGAATTTGACAAGGACATTTACATGGATTTGATTTTGGTGGACAACTCTGCACAATGGTAAAGCTGACACACTTGGCCAGAATTGTCTCCCTTGTGGCTCAAAGGGAATTGAGACAGGCAAGATCTGACAAACCTGGTTGCATGAGGCTGTCCTTTGTTTAGTCTGCCTTCTTCCTCTGAGTTGGCCGTTGAGATTGTGTCGACCTTTGCCTATTCCGTGGTTGGGGTCGGTTACATTCTGTCTGGTCCCTCCTCCTCAACCTTATCACCATGGGTAGCCCTACAGAAGTTGAAACTTGAGACATCTTCACTCTTGGGATCACTGGGACATGTAAGCCCTCTACCATGACAAGGAATGACCATATATATTTTACAATGGATATTGGAGTGAACATTTCGTTATCAAATGTACTAATTTGACTTATATTACTTTTCTTATTTATTGATTGGTTTCTATTATTAGAATATAATAGAAACCAATCTATCTATCTATCTATCTATCTATATATATATATATATATATATATATATATATAGGATGAATATGAGTAAAAGTGTGTTGCTTTGCTGATTGATGTTACCTTCAGCATCCCAACTTCAGAGTTTTGTAGGCAGTCATGTTCATCCATGGTAAGATTTGGACACACACACACACACATATATATATATATATATATATATATATATATATATAAGGAAAATAATATTTTATAGGGATGTAAATCTCTGGTATCTCTGCATTAAAGATTATTTCCAAGATTATTACTAACATTTTTTTTTCAGTTTTTTACTTAGCATAGAAATTAATAAAAATTTGATATGCCTCCCACCTTTTAGCCAACAGAGTGCAGTTAAACAGTCAACAAGAATTTCCTATGTTTATTTATACAAAACAATAATAAAAACAAATTGCAATGGTCAGTTTTTATATTTATTCATGTTTTAAAGCAAACGTCAGCAATAGCCAAAAGTATATTAATAAAATGCAAAAATAGAGTGGAGAGAAAGGTTTCGCATTACAGTCTTCAACTTGAAAATTATACTGTTTTTATGATTTATTGTTTATAAATTGTTACCTATTTCCTCAGCTTGGTAGAGAAGCATAATACTTGAACAATCATTGAGTATCAAATTCTCCTAATGAGAATAGTTTTCTCACCATCATCCTATGACAATGGGATAATTTAAAAAAACAACAGCATTGGGAAACCAAATGAGATCTGTTTAGTTGTGCATCTAGACACATTGGACACCAAAAATATTAAAACTTAAAAATTTTAAATACAGCATTCCCACATCTTCAGCACTTTCCCTCGGTGCATAATTATAACTGACAATTTACATTTATATCTCACCCTACACACATAATTTCACCAATAAGAACATTACTTTAGTCTGATGAAGTACTTTTAGAGAATGAAACGTGTTACACAGAATTTTTCCAGATAATATTATTTAATTTATTCACAAGTTAACATTATTCATATTGGAAGAATGTTTATTGGAATAGTGGCATTTATACAAGTCATAATTGAAGCTATATAATTCTCTTTAAAGTTAGAAAACTGGGGGTGTTATTTTTATTTATTTCTTGAGTTTTATCTCAACAATTTCCTGCCTGTTGAGTGTCAAGCTTTTCCCATTATTATTTTTATCAGTAATAGAATTTTGTTTGAGTGAGTGCAACATATGTTCAGCTCACCTGTATGTTTTCTGAACTGTAAAGAAAAGGTGAAACTTACAAGAAAAAGTACTTAATGTCAATGTTTACAAATAATTGTTAATGGTTAGAGTTTTGACCACACCTGTCTCTGAGCCATGGGGAAAAATGGGAAATGAGCAACAGCTTGTTAGTTAGGATGGATTGACTGAATTAGGGATATCAAAATGCCTTAATACTTGTAAGACTAAAATGTCACTAGCTTGTTGGTATACAACCTATATGCCTCAAGCACTCTCTTAATTACCAAAGACATTAGGTGTGCTGATTTTTCTCTTTAGTCATTTGGAGACAGAATCGTCAAAAAAGACAAAGTTGAAACCACAAATTTCTTTTGTTCTCTTCTTTTTGGTTTCTAATTTTGTCATGTATTATTTCTATTTATTTATTTTCTTGATTTTATATTTTACTTCTTTTTTTTTTAATTTAAAACCAACAAAGCATTAAAGAGGTGTCTAATGATATTGTTGATAACTTTATTAACATTCCAATATTTGTCTGGGCAATAGAACTTAGTCTTTGTGTTACTGATATTACTTCCGTCTTTCACCTGATATATTTTGAAAAAGTCTGTAGTCATCCTGGGTATGACTAAACTACATTCAGCAGCAAGGCCTCTGATCAGGAGATTGGAGGTTTTGAGGAGTGTGGAACCACCTCTTAATTACTGTTGTTTCCAGGTTCACCCTGACCCAGGGTGGTAATACCTGTTAGGGTTCCAGCTATGGGCAAATAGTGAACTTTGAAGCAAAAATCAACAATACATTTTTATAATAAAATGACCAACAATACATTTTTATAGAAAAATGATAATCAATGCAACACTAAAATATAAAAATACATTTTTATAGTAAAATTATCAACAATACATTTTATGATCTACAAAATACATTTTATGATCTATCAACAATACATTTTATGATCTAAACATATCTTTACTCTGAAAGTATTAAAATATATACAAAATATCTAGTTGAAAGTATAAAATTACACGCACAAAAAGTTTGGCATTAAATAACCCATAGAGGTTGATATACCACCAAACAAAATCAAACAACAAACATGAAAGAACTTTCATGACATTAGTCCATATAATATCCTATAATTTCATAAATTAAACGGTATTCCAAAATATAACTTCAACAAAACTACATAAAACACACACATATCACTGCCTTGAGTAATCATGTCCACACAAACATGTATATGCACAAAAACTGTGTATCATCTACCATGTATTCAATTTTGAAAGCAGAATCACATATATCATATTTTTATTAATTCAAGGCTCCAAGAAAATTAAATTTCCCATTAAATTAATAAATGACCCATAATGAGTTGATATGCTGTTAAACAAACAAGTCAATCACTAAAATGACTAGAATGAATCAGCAGATACATTGTGTTAACAACATTAGCAATACAAAGAATAGGTTTAGTTGTCTTAACAAAATTTAGTGTATTTACTGATAACTGACTGAAGCATCACAAAATTACATAAATATTTCTTTTTATTACAGATACTGAAATTGACTGGAAAGCCTACATGCAAGAAGTTGAAGGTGTCCAAAATGGAACTTATGATTACACAAAGTTGAAAGGTGACACTGGACCACTTGTGTAAGTCAGACTGAAAATTATTTATACAATGAGCTGCTTATGTAACTTATAATATTATGGATAGGACTCATTAAATATATCAGAATTTTAATTTGTTTGTAGCAATTCTTTTAATGTATAATAGCATAGTATTAAAATAAAAAAAACTGTCAAAATTATTTACATATGGATTGAACTTTTGCTTAGGATCAATGTATTATCTGTGTACTCTGCATAGGGGTAGCCAACACTTTGATCTTAGAGATATTTTAAAATATTTTTGTAATTTTTAAAAACACTGGATAGCTTTATTGGTTACTGCTAAAGTATACACAGGAAAATAAACAAGACATATAATGAGTGTTGGTGTAAAAATTAGAAGAGGTAGACATTTCTTACATAATATTAAAAACAAAAACTTTTCTTTCAACAAAACACTTTGCAAATGAACTTATCCATAAAGACTTTCTTTTAAAATACTGCAGAAAGCATTTTTTAACATGTAAGTGGGTGTTTTTTTGAGGTGTTCACACATTTATCAACAGCCTAATTAGGAAATTTGTACAAGAAGATAATCATATTAAAATTACATGACAAATACAATGTAAATTCCTTTTTTATGTATATTTTTTTTTAACTATCTAGTAATTAGGAAGATGCTTGTTGAAGAAATGTTAGAAAATTACCAATAAATTTTAAATTTACTGGAGTTACTGCTCTTGTTTTCTGATAATGTCATGTATGAACAGCCATATTTACAAAAATCAGCACATTTATACACCCATAAAGAAAATTCAAAATTCTTTTTAAAAATAGTGGGTGGGGGGTTGCTTAATAGTAGTAAGTCTTTTCATTTATGATTAGTAAATATAGTTTTTATTTAAAAACAATATCACTTAATCGGTACAAATTAATATAGAATTTTAAAGATTTAAAACTTTATAAATTATTCTAATTAAAATTTTAAAAAAAATAAAATCATTCTTGTAAACATTCATTATTCATTGAAATTATTTTTTCTTCATAAGGCAATAGTATCTATAATACATCTTATTCATAAAAGCAATTAAAAGCTTTTCTAATTAAGTAATATCTTAGTTTTATTGCATTTTTTATTTTATGATTCAGAGCAGATTTTTGTTAACTGGCTCTCCTGTTTGAGCAAAAAAATTGAGAATTTAAGTTCTCCAAGGACTTGTCCCTATAACTAATAAAAAACTACTACAAAAAAGAATTTCTTGAAATTTCATAAAATTGAATAAGTGGTAGGTAACAGATATATAAAAAAATTTTAATGATTTTTTTTAAAAAAGAAACATTTAAAAAATAATTTATTTCAGTAAGTCTTGAAAGTTAAATTAAAATCCGACAATTATATGATTTTTGCAAGAATTTCCAAATTGGTGTGTTTTTCACTGCAAAAAGATGCTCAAATTTCTCATACAAATTTATGGTTCCCATGTTGATGCCAGAAAAACAAGATTTTTAGCCATAATTTTGATGGTTCTAAAAAGGATTAAAAAAATATTTTTTACATCAAACAGTCCTCTTAATAATAACACAAAGATTTTAACAATAAAGTTTTAAGCATCGTTTCATCATGTATGCTTGTGCTTTTTTTTTTTTTTTTTAGTGAAACTTTGTGGGTACCTAAAAATATCTTTAATAGCACATTACCATGTGTTATACTAGGCCCACATTCTAAACCTTTTTGGTGAAATTTTCTTACATTGTCCAACATTTGATAATGTTACCCAGCTTACTTTCATCAAGTCTACCTTTTTCAGAAAGCCAAGCTGAAAGCAGCAATACTTGAAATGGCGTGAAGGCACTTTTCCTAAGCAACTAGTGATGTTACCCTTTGTTTTGGTAGCAACCAGACTGAATTCATGGTTTAATGAATGTAACCAAATATCGATCATCATATGTGCAATTTTATTGAAGGATTCTTTAAGTAAGAAAAGAACTATGACAGTAGACAACATTTTGGAGTTGGATGATATTCAACTATACCATGCATCTTACCACAGTTTGCACCGCACTCTGCATTTCACTATTGAGAACTGCACCCATTTAATGACAGTCTCTTCTAAGCACATCACCACTTGTGTTATGTACAGCATAATGGAAGATGTAAAACTGGTATCTTTTGTATACAAACTTTTTATGACGTATGGTAGCCATTAATAATTAAGTATAACTGAAGACTTCAATGTTAAAACAGTATTTAATTACAACAGCAAATAAGTACTTCACAAGAACAAAGAAGTGAAAGTCAGCCAAAGATAATTAACCATTTCAGTGAATACCTTGTCAGTAGCTCAGCTCAGCTTAACGTCCAGTAAATCCTAAAGCAAAACCCAAATCATTGACGCACAATAATGCACACTAATTCGACAGGATAGTTCCACTCAATAGTTACTCAATAATCACTGCAGTCAGTATCCTGACACTGCTATTTATACACCTGGCAGTAAACATATATTCATAAGTCCAGACTGTCAAACTTGAACCTTGATGTCAATAGTTACTCATTTTCTTCCAATATAACAAAAACACAGAAAGGGATATGGTAATCATTTCTAAATATTTTTTCTGGACATCACTTTCAAAACTCTTCTTTCAGATTTGATTGCCAACAATATTTATCCTTAAAGAAAGAATCTGCTTAAAATTCTGCCTCAAAGATAATTATGCACTGTAACATTCCATTTATTTTATCATTTTGTCATATTAGATTTTTTTTTTACTTCTAATTTGATTCTTGATTTGAATTTGTTTGTTTTAATTTTTACTGAAAATATCTTATTTTTTTACATGTCAAAAAACTTTGAATTTTGTTTTTGTTTTCTCTGTCTTAATAATAATTATGGTACATTTTATTGCACTTTTCCCATGAAATACAATAAAAACTAGAAGTGAAAATTGAATTAAGGAAAATTTTTCTTTTAAAAATCTACTGATAAAACTAGAACTTGCATCATTTCTTTAAAGCAAAAGATAAAGATTGGTGTCACTTGGAAAAAATCACATCCATTGGCATTCATTGAGGTTTATTGAATGTTTATAGAAACCAAATAGTAGATGTCAGCACAGTTTAGTGGTGAGTAATGTGTTCTCATTATTGGCAGCAGTGATATGTATGACGAGCCATTTTTAAACCCATGAAATGAAAAGCATTGATAAAAATGCATAGCAAATAGTGGTGACTGTAGAAAATGTGTTATTGTGCTCTGTGTATTTGTTTCAGTAATTATGGAAATAAATAGGAGGCATTAATTTTAGACTATCTCTTGTATAATTTAATATCTATTCTTAACTCTTACTTTGTTAGAAACCTTTAAACATTTGTACTTAGTACCTTTCTGTAGAAACAGACTTTCCCAGTGAAAACAAAGTGAAACCAACCGGTTTTTGTATTAAAAATCATGGCAATGACAATGAAATTTGTTGTCAATGAGAACTTCAGAATGTTCTCAGTCTTCCAGATCAAAAGGTCCACTTCTGAAACTAACAAACCACTGACAAACAGTACTCTCATTGATATAGCACTATGCCATAAATAGCACGTATCTCTTTTTGGTGTTTTTCCAGGATTAAAAGCATATCAAATGATGAAAATGCATCTCATTTTCTTTCATTTAAAATTTACAATTTTTGCACATAACAGAAAAATCTCCAGTACACCACAAACACCCACTATACCTGCAACTTCAGAATGAATACCCACTAAATGGTTACACTAATAACTTACAAAATAATGTAATATACAAAGCTACATTAAATCCAAAGGAAGCTCAGAAAAATAAATAGAGAAATAACTGAAGTTTTCTGGAAACAGAGAAGTTACTTATACAAAATTTTTTAACAAAAAATGTGCAAACAGCACAATCCTATCAAAGGCACCTCAAAACTAAAATGAAAATAAGGAAAATAATTTTCTTTTAAATGATAGAATTATTGAATACAGTTGAAAATAAATTATTCAATAATTCTTTTTATCTAACTTTTTATTTTAGTTGCTTAAGGCACACTGATTTCAGTTGTAGAGTTGGTTAAAATTTAGTCAAATTTATATATATATAGAGTTGCTTATTTAAAAAATTGTTTATCTATCTTAGCATTAAATTACAGCCACATCATGTTGAAACACTGGTTCCTGTACAATCACTGGTTAAGCAGCATACAGCCTGGTCAGTATCTAGATGGCTAACTGCTTGGGAATACCAGGTGCTGTAAGCTTGGATATGCAGGTGGTTTAATGGATAATGGTTTGGAATTGTGAATAGGAGAGCTGAGTCCCAATTCCTGTTGCTTTCATTATATTCACTTATATGCAAATACCTTTTGGAAAGGTATGAATCTACCTCTTCTCCCTCAGCTATGGGTTAATTAGTAAAACGTCTATCATTAAACCATTACTATCTCAAAAAAAATTATTACACACTAAAAATAATTTCTGGCTTTAAATAACCTGTAAAGAATTGATAAGCCACTGAAAACAAATCAATCAATTTATCTGTATGATGTATTGATTTATAAGACTTTTAGTTACTGCAAGATTGACAGGAGCCACTCAACTGGTCATATTCCTTCTTGTCTATTTTTGTGTATTAGAATTTTTGTGAGTAGTCAAAATAAATAGAACATATCTTTTTTATTTCTTCTCTAGTATCATGTATACATAAAAAGTTAATAAAATTCTATCTTTATTTTTTAAATAGGTATCCAGCTGGTTTTGTTTATGTGTTCACAGTATTTTACCACATAACAGACAAAGGAAGAAACATTCGTCTTGCTCAGTATATATTTTGTGTCATTTACTTGGTAACTCTTTTAATTGTCTTTGATATCTACAGAAAATGTCGACGGGTAAGTAAAATTAAATAAAAATCCTACCTTGAGATTTTATTTTTTTGTGGGTACCTTGTAGTATTTCTTATTCAAACCATACATTCATATCTGTTATTTGAGATGAGCATGTAACGTTTCAAGCAAGATTTGAGATTTCTGTAAAATATCAATATAATAATTATTAACATAATCAACAAATTAAATTATGCTGAGGTTGATACTCTATTTCATTATAAGCATTGGATTAATCATAAGTAATCCTAGTTCTGGAGTACCATGTACTTGGAAAATCAGTTATATGGAACAAGTTGTAAGCTGAAATATATGATTTGCTTTGTTGTTTTTCTTTTGAGTGTTGAATATCTCTGCTTTGTATATGTAATGACTGTATACAATGTGTATTTATTACAGTGATTTATGCATTTATACATGTATTGGAAAACATGATAATAAAAATCCAATATCTATGCAAATGTAAATATTGATTCAAAAGTAATATAATAATTTAATATAATTTGCAGTTATTGTTTATATTATTTCATTTATTATATATATTCTGAATATTTATATATTATATTATGATTATTATATTTATTTGAATTTTTCCACAGTTACTGGATTTTTCTGTATTAGTATTTATTTGTTTTTGTAAAACTAACCTGAAGACCATTTGTCTTATTTTTACTTTTTTGTAAATTATATATATATATATATATATATATATATATATATATATATATGGAAATGATTAAATCTGACATATTTTTAATTTATTTGTTTAAAAGTTATTTTTAATGGATACTCATATTTGAGCAGATGTTCTGTTTTTATTTATTTATTAAACAGTGTATTTATTTATTTACATCTACCAGCATAAATATTTGAGAAATCTTGTTAGAAAAATATGCAACCCCGACAGGATTTGAACCTGTGTCTCCTAGGGGAAACCGTATCATAACCAACTTCCTGATACTGTTTAATAAATAAATAAAAACAGAGCATCTACTCAAATATGAGTACCCATTAAAAATGACATTTAAACACATAAATTAAAAATATTATATATTTGGAGGCATGATGGAGTAATGGATAGCAGCTTGGATTGAGTAATCGGAGAGCTGAGTTCAAATTCCAGTTGAATCCATTACGTTAACTTACATGCTAATACCCTTGGGAAGGTATCAATCCTCTTCTCCCTCCAGCTATGGATAAATAGCAGGACAGACTGGGTTTTATAGCTTTGGATGGCAACTGGTCTACCACAGAAAGAAATAGCAACCTACTGTGGGAAAAAATCTGCCTCGTCAGTCATGTATCAAAAGATACATGATCACCTACATATGTATCATGCATGGCACATAACTGATTGATATATTATATTTATCAAATTTGCATTTTCTACTCTTCTTCTTTTTTATCAATTGATAGTTTTGGTGTTAGTACTTTCAAAAAGGCAGTATAAATTATTTTATTGTATGTTAAATAATGGCTTCATAATCTCCAAGTATTTTAGGCTTAAATCCCAATTTATACTTTCATTTTTGTTTCTGCTATCTTTTTCTAAAATTAAGAAACTTTTCTATATTTGTGTTTGTTTATGTACTATTTCATAATTTGTCTTGTTTTCTAGTGTTTTTGTTTACCTAACGTTTTATATATTTAAAAGTTAATTTTTATTAGCTTCTAAAACACGTAATGTTTATAATTTTTATATACATCTTACTTATTATAAAACACAGATTGTGTGTGTGTGTGTGTCTGTACGTTTATATATTGGATTGGATTTCCTACATCTTTCAACCGATTTCAACAAAACTTCACAGGACTGTGTAAAATTACCTTGCAGTGGTTCTGACAGCGCCCAAAATTGGAAAAATAATTGTTTTTGCACAAAATCAATTTGAAAACACGATTAAGAGGCATCACTCGCCAGAATGAAAGGGGGACAACTCATATTGAGTTATACTTGTAAAACCCAGGTTGTGTGTGTGTGTGTTCATTTATATATGGGATCGGATTTCCTACATTTTTCAACCGATTTCAACAAAACTTCACTTTTTTTTGGCAGGTAGTGTTTCTTATTGTCTTGCACACTTTTTTCTTTATTTTTACATTCAGAATGCTTTAAAAATTCCATTTACAAGACAATTGTTTATAATAAAATTCTATTCAATTGGTAGACTCATAACAATTGAAAACAATGTTTTTGTTTGAGTTTGGGTTTGACCAATTCGTAAAAAAAAAAAAAAATAATTAAGACGTGTGTCCGTCAACCTTAAACAATAATCTTTATAATATTTTTCAGTCTTTATGATGGGCGATACTTGATCTATCTCTTACTGTTACATCCCCGGGCAACGCCGGGCTCTACTGCTAGTACATTATATATATTCCAAAGGTTTTCATAACCAGGGGTGATAGTGAGTACTGTCTAAAAAATGCTTCTGTGGCATGCTTCTCAAATAATCTCTGACAACTAAGTCCAACTCCAAGTTGGAGAATGGGTGAATGTGGAAAACTGGTGCCTCATAATCAGCTGCTTTGGGTAGATGGAGGACAACAGCCTAAGGAGGAGGGGAAGGAAAACACTGATTTTAAACTTCCACTGCTTTTCAGTCATAACCAAACATGGAAAAGGCTATGGAGGTTCATAACATTTTGGCTTTCTGACACAAAAATGTTATACCAGTTGATTCTTTTATTTTAAGTTTAGGTCAGGCAGTCGACCATTTAGTGTTGACACACAGCATATGCAAGTATAGCAATAATAATAATTGGTAACATAAAGAATAAAACTCTTATCAAGTCAAAACTGATATAATCAAATGTACTCTTGATAAAATTTCTAGGTCAGTATTTCAGTTATTCAAAACAAAAACATCTATTCACGTGTACTTTGCTGAACTACTTGTAAAATTAAATTTTAAAGAATTAAAGCATTTTTCAATAATGATACTTGAATTTTGAAAAAGTGTATGTGTTGCTTCATTAAAAGTATTAAAAAACATTTTGTTTGGTTTTCATAGAAAAGTTATGACTTTAGAGCAAACAGGCTAAAATTGAATATTTTCTGTAAACTTGTATGTTGTTACCTTCTAAATGACTTCTTATGATTGAAAGCTCTTAATTTCTTACTAAAATATTTCATATTAGAATTACTAATTTACATGAAGACTTGTGTTCATCTTTGTTACTATTATGTTTCAATGAATGTGTTTTTTGGCCTTCCTCAAGGATATATAGTTACCAAACCAACTTATCAAAGTATTAGTTTGAACAATTTAGGAACTAATGATAATGACTAATCTCAGAATTCCAGACAATATTTATTAAACTTACTGTAAACATTAAGAGGCATAATAACTATATGAAGAGATGAAATTACTAATATCTATAAATATGCTATTATCATAATTTTATCTTAAAAAATAGTATTGTATAACTTCTGTCCCATAATATTTTATGAAATGTGTATGCAAATATAAAAGCTATTATGGGACAGAGGTTGTAAGTTAATGCTACAAACAGATATTGTGATTATTGGCTATGGCTGGCTACTAGTTGCTTTCAAGCACATCTGTCTGCCAAGGGGGCTAGCAAACCCCTGTTATAACCATGTGCTCAACCCACAGAGTCCACCTGCAACTAAGCTGAATGTACCTTAGTTACAGTTTCTGGGAGAGTGTTGTACCCTAGAGAGTGTTACTGAATGAGGAATAACCAAAACAGAGGTTGGAAATGAAATGGTAATCTTTATAACATCAACAAAATACAATACTCGCCAGCAGCATGAAGTAGGTAAACGACTGTTAGTGGTGGACTAGTTAGACAGCATGTTACCCCCACTTACAATAGTGTCCAACGTATTTATAAGGATTGGAACATACCCATTAGTGTTCATAGGTATGGTATATGACAGTGCACAATTTAGCATGATCAAATTTTTTAACAATGCCAGCATGACTCTCAGATGACTTGTGACTTTAATTGATTGATTTTTTACAGCTTATCAGGTTATTTAAAGTTGGAAATTATTGTTTCTAGATTGTAAGAATTTTTAGGCAATAACAATGATTTATGGATTCAAGTCATACTAATTAACCCATAGCTGGGGGAAGAAGGGTATTTGCATATAAGTGAATATATTGAACTCAACTGGAATTGGAACTCGGCTCTCTGATATCCAATTATGAGCCATTATCTATTACACAAGCTGCACATCCAAGCTTGCAGCACCTGGTATTCCTAAGTGGTCTGTCATCTAGGTAATGACCAGGCTTGACATTGCTTAACTTTGGTGATCATATGAGAACCAATGTTTTAATATGATATAGCCATAAGCCAACCTATAACTTTGTGTTAGCACTACCATTGACAGCTTCTGAATAGTTCTGTCTACCCAATTTTGGGTTAACACATGGTATTGTTTTCAGACACTGTTATGCACTGGTATCTCCTCCTCTGGTTGATCTTATCAAGTATTCACTTCCCTGACAAATTGACCATGTTGAGATTTGAACCCAAGTCTTATGGCCATTCTAATCACCTGGCCATTCTAATTATTATTAACCTGTTAATAGAGTGTTCTCTCTTAAATGATAATTTTGTTTGAAGTTCTAAGAATATATGAGACATTGATGTTAAATCCAAATTTATTACTTTTTATCTTTCCTAGCCAGATGGTTTGTTTTGCCCATGAATATTTATTCAGCTAATAATAAATTTATTTTTTTGACCTCTTCATTTGTTTCATACTTGAAGATATTGATTTTTTACATTTTAAAGTCAACTTGAAGGTTGTGACACTGGCACCAGGTGTTTGAATTCAATGTTAATACTTTTCAGAATTCAAAGACAAAACAATGATCTTCAGAAGATACAACCACTTTACTCTGACTTTGGACATATCTTGGGCTTCATACTTCATAGGCTTCAGGCACTTTCTCAATGTCATAATGTAACTTTCCTGCACCCTTTCTATAAATACTTCCATGGTAATTGTTCTGATGAACTTTCAT